GGTCGTGTGCTGCAGGCCTCCCTGGCGGGCAGGGAGGCAGAAATGTGGTGTCATTGCTTTCCAGGAGCAGGTGTAAGTAGTTGAGGATGAGGGTGGCGGAGCATCTCTTACAGAAATTCTCTGTTCAAGGTTAAAGCCCAGCCCCTCCCATCAAAGCTGGTGTCTTGCCATCGCACAAGCACATCTTTTGGATGGGTGTAGGCAGGGACCAGTTCCTCATGCAGAATGATGCTGTTGTAACTGAGTGTGCTGCTTGCTTTATTAGGCAAGTTTTTTTTGTCTTCACTTTTTCAATTGAAATCTTTAAATTCTCAGTTGGATTGCTGCAAAGGTCATGAAGGGGCAAGACTGATTTAATGGGGGTGAGATGAAGAAGGGCTTCAGGCATGCCGCTTCTAAATCTTCATTCAGGCTGCAGCCTGGATGCGAGGCTGGCGGTGTGATTTGCAATTGCTTGCTTGCAGTTTTTTCCCTTGTGGGTGATGTGTGCAGGAAACCCGCCTAGTTTTACATGGACACTATATTGGGTTTCTGGAATCATCCCCTGTGCTGTCTGATTCTGCCTATGTAAAGGCTTTCTGGTGTCTGGATGGGTGGGGAGACTTGAACAATACAAAGTTTGCCTTGCTTTGAAATTCCTGCTACAGATATTTTGAAGGGGGGAGGGAGAAGAGTGAAAGATTGTGATGAATTCTTACTGAGGCTCAATTTTGTGGCTACATTTTCTGAATGTGTGATAAGAAAAGATGTAACTTAAAAAACAAAAGGGGGGTGAGAGGGAGCTAAATAAAAGGATTTTCTTTGCAGCTCCATCTATTTCAATGGTGCAGCTTTCCCAAGCCCCTTTCCGTTGCCCATCATCACCTTCAGGCTGGTCAGAGGAGGGGGAGGATAAGAGTATGAAGGCGGCCAAGCAGCAGGTGAACCCGTCTGGGGAGAGCCAGCCTCCCTCCAGCCCCCTGCAGTCTGCGCTGAACTCGGCAGCCTCTCCTTCCCAGGCATATGAGACTTACATTGATAATGGGCTTATCTGCCTCAAACACAAGATCAGGAACATTGAGAAAAAGAAGGTAACTTGTTTTTCTTCGGTATGGTGCATATTTAAATTGCTAATTGTGAAACTCGGTGCCTGTTTTAGAATAGCTGGAATAAGGTTGTGTGTGTATAGAGAGTAATCATGGATTTTTTAAAAAATAACCTGATAAAGGACCTAAATGGGGATCTGCTAGTGGTTTTAATTATAATTTATAACCCCTGTATTTTAAAGAATGGTGTTCTTCACTCTTACTGTTCTGAAATGGACTACTTGTGTTTGATGTTGTTTCAGGGAATTGGGAATGCAGCTAACTATAAACCTGTCCTCAGCTGCTGACTTTTCAGTGCATGTTCAATGGTTAGCAAAAGTAATTGAATGTTGATCAAAACTGGGGAATGCTTCTCTAATAGACTGAATCGGTTCAAAACTAACTTGGAACTGATTTGGAGATGGTTTATAGTCTTGCAGAAATCTTCATATTTCTTCTATTGATTACATGCATTTAGTATTAGGATGTAGAGATGTATGTAAAATTGAAAATTAGGAACAGTGTTTCCCCTGACTCATGGAAATGGCAAATAGTATTAAATACATACTGCACTTCACTTTGCATAAATCTTTGACTTCTGTATTTTAAATATAGACAAATGTTACTCACTAGAAAGCTTTTAAATGGAAAGTGTCCAAAGCCTGCTCTCTTGCTTTGAACTGTGCTTTTTGGAGGGGGTGGGGAGGGGATGGACAGAATAGTGTTAATAAGAACTGAGATAATGATACACCTAAAATATTGTGGCTGTAGCTGGTCAGGCTTTTGCATTCTAAGACTTTTCAGTTGATCAGCAGGTGACTGAAGGCTATGTGCATGATTTTAATTGGGAAAACAGTATTTTCTGTAAGGTAAAAGAAATAATGGTGCTGTTGCATTTGGTACTGGGTTGGGATTACAAGTAAAGCAAATGTATGAATATGTTGTGCTTCTCTAAATGTCTGAAAAGCTTTGTGTTATGTCTTAGGGTGAGAAGAGGGAGTAGATCAGACTTCTGGCCATGTGGCTAGGGGACTTGATCCACCTGCAGGAGATGCAGTATTACTGCTGTCTCATGTCATGCATCATGCTGTAATTTTTAATTATGTCAGATAAGCATGTTTTCCTTGTGTGATACAACACAAAGTTGGTTAATTCTAATTCTGTCCAAAGAAGCTTATTGTTGTGAATTTCTCAAGTATCTTTGATTCTTTCACATGAATGACAATATGGCCTCACCAGCAAATGGAAGTGTGACTTACTAGAATGAGTAGAAAGTATTCCTAGTCCTAGGCTCCTATGGGTACTGTGTCAGTAAACCCTATGTGGGTAGATACGTGAATGAAATAGTGTTCAACCTCATGGCAGTGAACTCCCCTTTCTTTTTCCTGTGTGTATAAAGAAGCTTGTAATACCTAATAGTCTAGTATAGCTTACATCAGCTTTTAAAGACTGTTTCGGTATATTAGAAATAAATCTTATGTCTTTCCTAAAGACATTAGTCCACTTCCTTCGGAAATAGTGCTATAAAATCTCGATGACATAACTGAAGATTTTGAAAGACATGCTCTGGAAAACTAAGTAGGATTATTCAAGGTAAGATAACTAAATTCCAGCATTGACTTGGAAAAGCTAAAAAAGCCTAATTTAAAATGAGAACACCGAATGTGTTTGGAGCCCCTTAAAGATCTAGGGTCAAGTGTTAGTATTTCTTAAATGAAGCGAAGGTAGCAAAGTAAGAAATGAAAGATCAAAGATAAGAAAGGGAGGTAGGCAGTCTTGGAGGCTGTCATTGCCAAATCAAAGGCATAGCAAAACTTTCTATGTTGCTTTCTCCTGAAAAGAGAGGAAGTAAATTCCTATTTGCTTGCAGTATGCGGGTAACTTAAATACAGAAAGAATATGTAGCTTCACTTGCACCCCATACTCCACATTAGACAGAAATCAATATAAAAAATTTACTTTGGATTTTCCTACAGCTCAAACTAGAAGACTACAAAGATCGCCTGAAGAAGGGAGAAGCCCTCAATCAAGACCAGTTGGTAAGTTTGCTTTATGCAGGAGTAGGTGGCACCTCAATCTTCAAACATTGTCAGAAGGGATAGGTTGTTGAAGGAGGTAGTGGTGCAGGTTTACAGAAGTAATGCCTGCAGGCTTGTGTTAGTATTTTTTCACAAAACCAAATGGACAAATTATTGGTAATTAAGCTGAATGGTGAGCTCACAAGCTTTAAGTCTCCTACTTTAACCTTCATGTTGTGTACTGCAGTAATAGAAGGTCCTTGTTTATCTTTGCTCTGTAGACTTTCAGCTTCAGTGCTCCTGCACCTTTATTTCCTAATGAGGTGTCTGTATGCAGCTTACCTACAAGGCATTGCAGTGTTCAAACACAAACCTCAAGACTTCTGGGATAGCTAATTAATCCTCATGACTTCTTCATTAACAGGTGTTACTTCAAATTGCCTGTGGGCTGCACAGTGCTGTTGGTTACAAGTAGCTGTTAAGGTATAACTGACAAACAGTCCCTGTTGGTACCAAGGAAGATACTGGTTTAACTTGCATGGGATCTAAAGGCTTCCCTAATACAAGAATCTAGCTATGAGTTACTGGCTTAGTTGGAATGCTCTCCTGTCCTTCTACTGCTGCTATTAGATGGCTGGGAGTTGCCAGCACTCTCAAATGCTGTTAGAACAATGTCTGTTTTGTACCTAAGGGTGCTAGAGTTTGGAATGCCAGGATTCAAGATCACTACTCAACAAATGTGATTTATTTTGTGGAGCTAGCTTAAACTTGCCTGATGTTAAAATGGTGGTTCTGGCTTTTTTCTGTCTTAGACTAGAATGGATTCTAGAACTGAAACCAGCTTTCTATTACATGAAAGCTATTGCTTCTTAAGCATGTCTGAGTAGCAGTGTCACATAATCCAAAGGGTTTATTGCTCTAGTCATCTAGGAGTCAAATTTTTAAAATGTACTTCACATACACACTGAAGAACAGTTGTGTGATAAAGGGCACTGATACTTCTATGGTAGTGCTGATCCTGCTGATGGACCAGTTGGAAAAATACTTCATTGTCTGTTAACTTTATCACAGTGTAGCAGTATTGGAACACAAATACTATTTCCTTGCTCTGAATAATTTGTAAATGGGAACTAGCCATAAATGGGATAAGAGGGGAAATGATAACTTGCTACTTAAAAGTAGAGTAGCCCTATATGGAGTGAATGATTATTTAGCACTTAACTACAAAATCTGATGTAGTCTCTTGCCATCTCAAGTGCAGAAGTAAATGAATTAAATCCGATGGTTTGAAGTAGGATGATCTTTTAGTTCCTCTAAACTCAATCTGGAATTGGGTGGGCAAGAGCCTTTTGTGTTTAGATCATAGGTGTTAAACACAATCTGTTTTCTTCTGTTAGTAACAGTGAGACTATTGAACAGTAATCTGTGTAAGTTTGATTAGTCTTGAACGTGTTCTAAAGCTACTTCTGAATTTGACTCTTTATCTTTGGTATACACCCTGGACTGTGAAAAGCTGTTAGGTGAAAGTGAAATTAAGAGGTGGGGAACTAGAGGTGAAGGATTCTGTAGATGTTTTTCTTGCAAATGCATCCAGCAGCACTAACTTTGGAAAATGTATATGCAATTAACTTGGTTACTGGCTTTCAGTATTCCCAGCTGAGCTTAACTTTTTAAGTATAAGTATTTTTATCCTGGTTTCTGGGATATCTCAGGCTTCTAAAATGGGGAATTAGATTCAGTCTTGCTAGTGAACTGGCCAGTGGTAGTCAAACTGTTCAGATGACTGTTGTAGAAGCACGTATCAATTCAGTATTTAACAAATAGTCTAGCCAAGACCCCTGTTTCAGTGGTTAAGATAGAGAAATACTGCATTTGTACCTTTCAGATGCAAATTCCCAATGTATATATGAATACTGGGACCTGGTGATTGAAGCTAGAGCAGAGCTTAATAGTTTGGACACTTGCCTAAAGAGACCTAACTGCCTATGATACAGTGGAGCTGTAATGTAACTTGATGTCTTCTGTATTTCTCATTGTTTCTCACACAGAGGAAGAAGTGCACATCTGGTGATGAACTTGTTTTGCAAGCAATTTGGATTAAACTGTAATTACTTATGGTGCATGCCTGCCAGAGCTACTGCGTGTGCTAGCCACACTTTAGGAAATGTTTGTTTCAAAAATGAAGAACTTTTAGCAAGTTAAATGCTCTCACTAGCAATATTGTGCTCTTTTGCAAGCTGAGCAGACTTTCTTCAGTACTGTTACTCCAACATGCTGTTAATGAATGTTAGTAACAGCTGTGACAAAAGAAAGCTATTGCTTTCCTGCAGGCTGAGTTATAGCTTGTCATCAGAGCAGTGGCAACTGTTCTTGATGTTTTCAGGTAGGGAGTTTTACTCTGGGATTTGCATGGTTAAAAGCACAATTACTGCAATCTGTCTAGTAAGTTGTTGGTGTTAAATTGTGAGTCTTGCTCAGATGTCAAATGTGTGGGCATTAGGGTCTTAGAAGTCATTCTCCCAAGTGCTGAGTGAACTTGCTGATTAGTTCTTAAAAGTTGCTTGATAAATTGTGTGAGGACAACTTAAACTACCAGATGAGTGCTTTACAGTAACTCATGCACCGCTTTGTGATGAGTAGCATTTAGGCCTAGGCATGTCTAGTATACTACAAATAAGTGAATACAAGTAACTGAACAATCAAACTGATTGTACAAATGAATGTGTAACTTGCTTTCCAGTTGCTTAGGAACACATATGGAATTTGCACATGCCCCAAATCTTATTGGGACAGTAGATTAAGCTTTTGTCACTGCACTGGTGAAACACTTAACACTAACACTACTTTGAAAGAGCTTTATATTAGACTGACGGGCCCATTGTGGAAAAACTTCTCATATTGTCATGAGCATAAACCAAACTGAGTGTAAAGCACATGTGAACAACTGAAATTAAACTTGTTTCTTCTCAGGCATGCCTGATGGTATGAGGATATGGGCAGCATTTCTGAAATACAGCATTTTGCTGTCTTCAGAGCTGTCAAGGAGACTTCTAAAAATGCACTGACTCCTTAGTGGGGAAGAATTAATAAAAAATAGGGTATATCAAAGGGCAATTATCTACTTTAAGTAGTCTTTTTGAAGACTGGCTAGTAAAATATTGGTTAAAGTCATTAGTGAAGACAGGAATACTTCTTTATTTGTGGAAACTAAATTTGAAAGACTTTTTTCTGAAAGTACAACTTGGCTTCTGTATTGTTTTCGTTCTGAAGTTTGTACAAATTACCTGTAAAGGCGTTCAGCTAAGCATCAGGGTAAAAGATCTGCATTGAACTTGTCTGTCTCCTTTATTCCTTCCAGGCTTTCATATCATTATCTGATTTTAAGTAGCTGTTTACCTCTGATTGCTGAGACCTGGGAACAAAAGGAACAATGAAATAACTAGTATCCAGGCTTTCCTGTTTCAACATTAGTATACCAAGTATTGCACAAGATGTTGCCTGGAAAGTCTAATACAGACAAACTTGTAGGATATCTGTGTGGTGGTGTGAGCTGGCTTTGTACTGCATCTCAGACAGTCATAGATGAATGATATTCATGACTGAATTTAAAGTACCAGTTACAGACATAGTATCTTTAAAAAAATTACAATTTCAGAGAAGCACACACTAAATGAATAGTTCTCGATGAGAAGTTAAGTACAAGGGGCTTGAGATGCAACCAGTAGTCTTAAGCATGAAAAATACATTTTTATCTATTCCTTTGTAGGAGGCAGTAGAGAAATATGATGAAGTAGTACACAACTTGGAATTTGCCAAGGAACTTCAGAAGACTTTTTCAGGACTTAGCCAAGATGTAAGTATAAAATGCTCTTCCCTATATTGTCAGGAGGTAACTACAAAGTTTGTGCTACTCTTCTAATGGCTACACTTAGGTGCCAATATGCAGAATACTAGGAAGTTTCTATCTTGGAGCTTGGGGGAACAATGTGCTTAAACTGTCTGGAGTAGTGAGTAGAGCAAAGTAAATGTTAACAATTTTGTGTACCACTGACCTCCACAATATAGTTATTCACTGTGTACCCCTGTAAGAACTTGTGCTTAAGTAAATTGAGTCATTGGAAATCAGCCATGTTCGAGATGCCTCCTGTTTACTTAGGATGAATGTTTTGATGTTTCCAGTGAGGGAAAGTGCTGGGGATAAATTGCTTTGGTCTAAGTGAGAAGTACAGGTCTCAGTAAAATTTTACTGAAGCTTGTGGAGCTTGCCACTTCTGCTGTAGTTGCCTCTAATTATGGCAAGTCACAGATTTAGTGCTTTATTTAGGTCTTTATTCAGGGTTTAAAGCACTACATACATTATTTTTATGTAAGCAAGTGTTTTATCTTTGGAGAAACTGGTCTCTTGACTCAAGCAAATACTATCCTTATGAAAAGATTTGATCCAAGGCAGTGCTGGGCATGCTAAACATGATTAGTCACTGCTCTGGCATTGTTTCTTTGCCTCTTACAGAATGCTGAAGGACTGGTAAAATGGCTTGTCTGTGGTGACTGAGACCCAAACAATTTTGGTAGAAAGGCTTTTCTGGTATGTGTAGTAAGTAATTCCAGCTAGTGCAGTACATCTCAAAGCACTGGGTGAGCAGAGATTTAAGAGCCTTTTCAGCAGTGTTGCTGCTCTGGGTTCCCTCAGTCATTGTATGTTGAACATATAAACTACTGTGCTGAATGTCAAAACTTGGATTGCTTTCTATTGCTTTCCTCTGTGCAGCTGCCTATAAAATATCAAAAATGAAGGATTGTGACCCAGTGTATCTTTCTGTAGGTGTTTTTAGTAATCCAGCATTAACTTCTACCAGTTCATGTTTGTTCTTGAACTTATGCTATATTTAAAGGCTAACCCACATTGTTTTTTCCTTGGCTCTACTTCTACCAGTATGGATTCTACAGCTAATACCCATTACTGGAATGCTAGGGGCCATTCTGGCAACATCTTTATATCCTTTACAGTGCGTTCTGGAAAACTAAATTTTCATAGATCTTGCAAAGAAACTTAAGATACCCCATACTGAGGCATTCTAAATTCTGCAGTTACTTGGATAGCTTTTGCTGCAAAAATCTGTTAGTACATGATAAATTTCTCCTCAAATGCATGAGGGCTGTGTATGTTCTGTGACTTTTGTTGTTGCTTATTCAATGAGTGCTTCAGTCTTCTGCCAACAGAAGTAGAAGTAACTGCAGGATTCTGCTGTATCATTTAAATTGGAGTATTCAAAGGTGAAAAGGCAGTTGTCTCACTAGGAGAAATTTGAGACAACTTCTGCCTCACTAACTTCATGTGATAAATGTTAAAGGTCAGCTAGGCTTGGATTTGTGCATTGGCATCAGTTCTATTGATTCCTTATATTCAGTTGTGAAAGCTGTTATAATAAAGCAACTGCCAGGCATAATCAGGATCTAAATATCATAAAGGTGTATCACAAGTGAAGCTACCAGTATCCAGTTTGACTAAAAGCTAGATATGCAGAGAATTAGTAGATAAATGGGGAGCTCTTCCAGAGAAGGAGCTTACAAGATCTTGGGTATCTGAAGAGAGAATTAGGAGCTTGTTATCTAACTAAAATTAATATTACTTTGATCAGTGTAGGATGATCAGTACTAGAACTTGATGTGTGTTATCCTAGAATCCTGTTACTGAACCACTGTGTTTAACTGTTGAATTCATGTATTGAAATAGCTGCTGAAAGCACAGAAGAAGGCTCAGCGAAGAGAGAGTCTATTGAAGCTTGAAGCAGAGAAGAAAAAACTGCGTACAATACTTCAAGTCCAGTATGTGCTGCAGAACTTCACTCAAGAGCATGTTCAGAAAGATTTCAAAGGTGGTGTGAATGGTGCAGTATACTTGCCTTCTAAAGAACTAGACTACCTCATAAGATTTGCAAAACTGACATGTCCAGAAAGAAATGAGAACTTGAGGTAAGTTCAAGATCTTTGTCTAATTGGTATGCTTCATTCATTACAGTAAATGTCCTCTGTTTGACACTGCCATGTCTTGAAATACTATGTTTTGGGACACTAATTAAAAATTCTATTCAGTACGCTTGCTTTAGTCTGAGACTAGGAATGTAGCAGATTTAACCCACTCTTGAGTATTAAAGCTGCAGTAATTACAGCCTCAGTTGTGCAAGTTACACACAAGCCCTGCCATCTTATGTCTTCCTGTGGGGTTGAGGGGAGATAATCCAATACCATCATAAGCAGGGAGGCTGGTGGTATGCTGCTTCCCTGAGATCTCACTGTTCATGAAATGAAAAAAGTGCGGTAAACACAACTGTTCTGTATTCCATTCATGTGATGATCCAGATGTGCTTCTCTATTCCAAAGGGATGTAAGGTGTAGTCCTGAGGCTCTCTTGCTATTGGCTTCAAAGTATTTTTAAAAATTTGACTGAAGGTTTTTATACCTCTGCACTAAACATCATACATTTTAAGGTAACAAGTTGTCAACAGATGTAATGTATGTAAGTACTAACTTGGCATCATGCTTGTACTATGATGGCTTATGTTTAGCAGGACAGCCTGTCTGTTTTAAGATAGTGTAGTAAGAACTGTGTTTAAATATGGAAAAAGTAGCTATTAGGTGGTAAGTTGAAACACTTTATGGATAATAAGAGTAAGTATTTCCATATTCAGACATGACTTAAGTTCCTAAAACTTCTAATGACTTGTCATATGCTAAACTTGTCTAATCTTTGCTCTTAAGTTATCTTCTAAAGAACAGCTGCTTATAAAAAGCCACACAATAAGAGTCTCTCATCCCAGTGAAATAACTTTATTTCTAGCTTATAATTCTCATATTATGCTTCCACAAGAAGCATAATCCTTTCCTTTGGGATACTAAATTTCATCATGGTGGACTTCCAAATCTGTTGTCTGGAGTGGGTGGGGTGGAGCATGGACCTATGTCAAAGTTTCCTGATAACTAGCAGAGTGGCAGGAGCTGTTGATGGTTGCCCCTGCACATGTGCATCCAATAAACAAGGTGATCAGCTGATTAACAGCAATTGTTTCCCTCTCTGGGAATCCTGGCTTGGAATGATAGTCCAGCCATATGGTTGTGTGGGATAGTGCTAGGCTCTTTAATCTGTCTTAATTACCAACAAAAGAACCTACATTTGCTAGATTAAATCATGTACAAACAGATGCAGATGAATCAGTAGTGGATAATGGGCTTAGGATTCACTCTATGTATACAGACTTAATTTGGAAGGCTAGACATTAGTCAGTGTCTTAAAATGAGCGGTATTGGTATACTACAAGACTTGATCTTGGCTATGATTCTACCTGGTAAAACTGTCATTTGTTTTAGTGTGGAAGACCAGATGGAACAATCATCTCTCTACTTCTGGGACCTCCTAGAAGGAAGTGAGAAACCTGTGGTTGGAACAACATGTGAGTGTCTCAGCTAGAGAAATAACTTAGAGATCTGAAATTTGTGTGCTATTTAAACATCTTAAAACAAATAAATATATGTGGAAGGCTACCAAATTAAACACTTTCAAGTGCTGTGTGTTAATTTAGTTATGCAAGGATGAATTGCTGTTTGTTCTAAGTTCTGTTTTTTAAGTATGGATCAAAACAATCCAGTAAACCTTTCCCTGGAAAAAGCAAGCATGTTCTTCTACCAGTGTACTAGTAGTACCTTTTTGAGGAATAATGATGGTAAAAATTCCAAAGGTGATGCATGAATACCTTACAGAACCAGCAGTGGGAAGCTTTTTGGATAGTTATGTGCTAATGGGTTAAGATTGGAACACTGTTCCCAGCCATGAAATGCTTAGTTGAGTATACTGGTGTGTATTACAAAGCTTCAGTGGCCCCAGGCTGAAGGTCCCACAGTATTGAAGATTCTTTCCTCTTGTAGGAATTCCAGGCTTGTACCCATTGTCTGACTACAGTGCAGGATACCACACTGAGGAAGGATAGTCATTAATGGAACTTGCTGTGATCTCTAATCATGCACAGTGCAGTCTTGCTTTGTCCTCATTTTTCAAATACACCAAAATCTGTAGGACTCTACATATTTTCTTCCATCTGTGGCTTTTAAGTTTCAGAAACCCTGGTTGTAAGCTAACATACACTTTCTGTGTTCCTATTTAGAACTTGCTTAGAGGAAACTGTCCTTGCTTGAGTTGTAGTGTCTTTCCTATTGCAAACAGACCTTGCTTGTCCCATTTACTCCAGTCTTGTAATGGCTGTGTGGCAGTAATCTTGCATTTGTCATTGACAACAATGTTGTGGAAACTGTTAGATGAGAGCACTAATGTACCCTATCTAATTTTGGCATACAGATTGTTGAACTGACAACTAAGTGTTAACTCTTTTCATACAGTTCTGAACAAAGTGCAAGCTGGCCTTGTAGAGCTACAAGCTGGTAACTTTAGCCTTGTATCTTTTGATAAGAACTGATGGTTGCCTGGTTATCTCAGACTCTGAATTTTTGTAGCTTTTTGACTATCATCTAAATTTTTGTGACTATTTTGTCAGTATCTCTATCCCTTTAGTGTCAGTCTTCCATCCTTTTGTGTGCAAGCTGAACTTCAGATAAAGCTGTTACGACTTCTTATTAGCATTCATTGCCTTGGAAGGCATTTTTTTATATCCATATTAAATTCTAGCTACTATTCTTGTTTATATGGTTGTTGCTGGTAGGAGTGATCTTTCACTGAATGTTCTTCCTGTTCTCAAGGCTGTCCTGTCTCTAGCCCTTCTGAAACAATTTCTAGTGTCACTGCTACTTCTGAGGTCTTACTCTCTACTCCAAGCTGCTGTCTTTTTTGCATAAAGAAGGGAACTGGACAGTGCTCATCAGAAAGAGTACACAGTTAAGTTTTTCTTCGACCATGTCACTTTTGACTTTTTCCAAAACTTCAGAGGATGAAGTTCAGTCTGGAACAATTTCTTGCTTTCTTCCCTCTGCTTGTTTTTACAGTTCTTAACTCTTCCTTCTGAGACTTACCATCCTACACTGGGAAGAGGGTCTTGTAGGGCAGTTCCATAATGACTTTGTTTAGCTTTACCTATGCTACAGTCTGCACAGTGTGCTTTTAGTATCAATGCTGGCTAGTTTATAATGGTAAACAAATCCCTTTCTAAGCATATGGGAGACCAGGTGGCTGAGTGTTTACCTTGTGTGCATTTAAACACAAGCTGCAATCCAATGCCTCTGGATTGCAAAGATGTTTTCAGCTGTCATACATAAAGCAGTTTAACAAATACTGTACTAAAACATTTTATTGCTGTAATTCAGTTAAGATGTGTGAACTTGGAGAAGTTGCAATTTATATAAAGGGAGGAAGTAAGGAGTCTTGATCTGTAATCTGAATACTCCTTAATTTCAAATTTTCATATCTTAATTTCATGGATTTTTACTCTTCAGATAAACACATGAAGGACCTGTTATCCAAACTTCTAGACTCTGGCTACTTTGAAAGTATTCCGACTCCTCGCACCACCGTGCCAGTAAAAGAATTGGAAGAAGAAGTAAATAGAAAATCTGAGAGAACAAGACAGATGTCAAAAGGAGAGTCTGTCAAAGAACCAGGTGGAATATTACAGGGTTCAATTTCTGTACTATAACGTTGGGATAAGCTTGAACTGAACATTGACTTTGCATAGCCTGATGCTAAATCTAATCCTGTGCTGTAGCTTATTGGCAATGTAGTAACTGAAATGGAACCTGCAAGGCTTGCAGCCCTATTCTGGCTAATATTGTAGAAAAAATCTAATTCATAGTAATAGGATGTCTTGTCTTCTGAGCAAGCCTCCATGTTGAAGATGTGAGAATTGCCTGGTGTA